CGCGGCAGGGGGACCCGCTCGGTCCTTTTCTTTTCGCGTTCACGAAGCAGCAGGTGATGGAGTCGGTGACTAGAGAGTTCAGGGACCTACTTTTCCTGAGTTATGCAGACGATACCTATATCCTGGGACCAGCGGCTAGGATTCTAGAGGCTTTTGGGGTACTGCGGGAGCGGTTGGAGTGGGTGGGGCTGGAGGTGCAGGCGCACAAGTGCCGGTTTTGGGAGCGCGAAGGCGGGGATGGAGCGGGCACTGCCATTGGGGATGCAGCGAGTGGAGGAGGGTCTCACTGTGGTGGGCGTGCCTATTGGGGAGGAGGATTGGGAGGTGGTCCAGTTACGGGAGCGGCTTTGACAGTTGCAGGCGCCATTGCCATGGCTCCCCTTGCTCGACCACCCCCAGATGGCTTCACATCTCCTCGCCATTGCAGTTTCAGCACGGCCGATGTACCTGGCCCGGACTATGCCGTCGCGTCCGGAGGTGGTGGATGCCTTTAGGGATTGGGATAGCTGTCTGGAGGATTGCTTTGAGTAGCTTTTCCTACCTGGCACTTGGGAGCAGGACCCTGACCGGTCTAGGGGCGCACGCATGCAACTGCATCTCCCTATGCGACTCGGAGGGTTTGGGATCCGGGCGGCGGCCTCTTTGAGTCCGCTGTCCTATGTTTGTGGGTGGGTGCAGGCGGCGCGGGATATTGCGCAGTTGGGGGTTGTGGGCGCGGCGATGTTTGCAGAGTACCTCACCACTTCGGCAGAGCCGGAGTTTCTTGACCCGTGGTTTGCTAAGGCTATTGAGCAGCTGCCAGCGACTATACGCCAGGAGATGCCGGGCTTACCTCTGTGTTTAGCGGCCCCTTCTCTTTGGCTTTTCCAGGCGCGGAAGCGGCAGTTGGCAGTAGAGGAGCTCCAAGCACTGCGCCGCTTGGCTCGTGACAATGCCACCCTAGCCCGTTTCACATCCCTTCAAGGCCCGGGGGCTGGTGCATGGGTTTCGGCAGTCCCGGCTCACTCAGATCTCAAATTCACTACGGCTGAGTGGGGCATTGCTGCTGCTATACGGCTCGGGCTCCCAATTCAGCAGCTACAGGTGGTGGGGAGGTGTGTTTGTGGCACATCGTATGTTGACCCAGCAGACCCGCATCATGCCTTGAGATGCAAGCACCAACACGGTCCATCTCGGGTGCATGATGAGGTGAAGTTTGCGGTGGCGAGGATCTCTAAGGCGTCACGGGGGGTGGTCATGATGGAGGATAGTGCGGTGCTGCCGGGGAAGCGGTTTGACGTAGCGGTGCGACGACCAATGTGTTATGTGATGCTATCATTTGCATTCACGTCTGTCTGCCTCCCATCATATGTTCGTGCGTTGCATGCGTGGTGTGTGCAAGAATCTGTGTTTGGTGTGGTTTGGATTTTCTGTGTTTGGATGTTATCTGGCTTGGGCAGATATCTGAAGTGACTTCTCTGCTCAAGAGCTTTCCGACGAACCAAGAATCATCGCGATCGAATCAAGAACAAGAAATATATGATCGTTCAAAGTTTTTTGATTGTGATGCAGCGACTATGGGAATTTGTGGGTTGACTCAATATGGGGTACAGACTTTTGGGGGTTGGGAAATTCGTCACCATCACTGTAGATGATGCCAAGTGGTTGGGAGAAGCCAAACCAGGTTGGCAAGTGTGGCCAAGTTGGGTGAGGTGAATGGCATGAGTTGGGAAAGTGACAAATGTCAAAGTTGGGGTGCCTATAGAGGGGGAAATTGTGTAGTATGAGGTTTCCTTGGTTGGGGACTCTCTTGGGACCTTCCCTCTCGTCCTCTTCATCCCCTTCTACCTGGTTCTTGCTACTCTAACTTTCTTGTGTGAACTTGTGAGATAATTTTTGATTGAGTTAAGTTTCTATGGCAGCATACCCCCTAGTGCGCCGAAATTCATAACTCGAGTTATACTCCATTTTTTGATACGATTCAAATTGGGAAAGATAGCCACTGTTAAGGGCTACATTATACTCGAGTTTGAGAACATTCCAGGAGTGGACCTTTTGTTGACGGCGTTTCTTGTGAAGTCAACAATTCTGTCCAGAAATATAGTCCAACGATTTTGAGATATTTCGGCCCCCAATCTTCATAGACTCCGTCCTTAGTCTCTAACAAAATGGCCGGGGAGGCTCACGCTCTAGAGATCAGTGTCGCAGACCCGCTATCGCAGTCTCCATCTCTGCTAGGGCGGTGCGGCCGTTGTATAGGTGTGGCGGCAAAGGAGTGGGAGCGCCGCAAAACGAGTGATTACTGTTAGAATATATATGTAACTGCCTGTAGCTGTAGTTTAGTGTAGTTATTATAAACTGTTGGTGGTGCACCTTCTTTGCATGCTCTGTTTGCTATATGTACCCTAGTGCTATAGTGAACATCATTCCCATTCTCGACTTTCTCCTTGGCACAACTTTCTCGACTTCCCCTTGGCCTAGGCTACTAAGCCTAGGCCCTACCTAAACTTAACTACCACTTGTGCTCCTATCTCAACATGGAATCAGAGCCTGTTAAGTCCAGGCCTGTGGGCCCGCCTCACGCTTCCGCTGCTGTTTTTCCGGTCGCGCGCCTCGGGCGCGTGGCGATTTTCGTCCTGTCCCGCGCCCGGGTGGCGCGTGACATCTTTTCTGCCCGTCGCGCGCCCCGTGGCACGCGACGGTGCCCTGCCCGTCGTGCGCCCCGTGGCACGCGACGGTGCCCTGCCCGTCGTGCGCCCCGTGGCACGCGACGGTGCCCTGCCCGTCGTGCGCCCCGTGGCACGCGACGGTGCCCTGCCCGTCATGCGCCCCGTGGCACGCGACGGTGCCCTGCCCGTCGTGCGCCCCGTGGCACGCGACGGTGCCCTAAACTGCCCGTCGCGTGCCCCGTGGTGCGCGACGGTGCCCTGAGCCACCGCGGATCCGCCCCTGGCGCCCGCGACGGTGTCCTGAGCCGCCGCGGACCCGCCCCTGGCGCCCGCGGCGGTGCCCCTGCCTCACCCGCGCCTGCACTCGCTGCAGCCGCCCCTGCACCACCCAGCGCCTGCCCTTGGAGCAGCCGCCCCCGCTCCTGCACTCGGTGCAGCCGCCTCTGCCTCACCCCGTGCCTGCACTCGCTGCAGCCGCCCCTGACCTACCCGCGCCGACCCTCCGTAGCCGCTCTGCGGCTTTCTCCCCGCCCACCCCCTCCTCCTTCGTCTCCCTGCAGCCGTGGGGGGGAGGGTATGGGGGTGGCGGGTGTGGGGGTGATGGGTGGTGTGCTTCCCTTCCCCTCCTCCTCCTTTCGTTCCCACTGCTGCAGCTGCCGCTGGGGGGGAGGGTGTGGGGGAGCCGGGGGAGTGGCACTGGGGTGGCGGGTGTGAGACCAACCAGCAGCCGTCCCTCCACCTCTCCTCTCTTCCCCCCTCTGCTGCTCCTGCAGCAGTGTGGGGGGGAGGGGGAGGGGGAGGGTGAGGAGATGGAGGGGGTGACCAGCCAGAGCCAGCCCGCCTCCTCACTCTCCCTGCTGCCCCTCCTGTGGTCGAGGGGGGAAGAGAGTAAGGGGGTGGCAGGAATGTCTTGCTGTCGCCTGTCCCTTTACTGCTGTACCTGCTCTGTTACCGTGCCTGCTGTTGCTGTTGCTGGTGTACCCCTGCAGGTTGTGTTCTGCACAAACTCCTGCTGCAGGCAGTTATGGGGGAGTGTTAGAATATATATGTAACTGCCTGTAGCTGTAGTTTAGTGTAGTTATTATAAACTGTTGGTGGTGCACCTTCTTTGCATGCTCTGTTTGCTATATGTACCCTAGTGCTATAGTGAACATCATTCCCATTCTCGACTTTCTCCTTGGCACAACTTTCTCGACTTCCCCTTGGCCTAGGCTACTAAGCCTAGGCCCTACCTAAACTTAACTACCACTTGTGCTCCTATCTCAACAATTACGCGCCACTGCTTGCACGCAACCGGGGCGTGCAGTTCACCCCTTTAATAATAGAGACGTGGGGGTGTCTCGGCGGTCGTTTCCGGCGGTGGCTTCGACAGCAGTGGGACGCGCACGTGGGGCTAGCTGTGTCACAGGGGGCTTGTCGGGAGGATGACACTTCGTTTTCGGCTTATCTTTTGGGGTCTCTGAAGGTGCTCATCGGGGTGGCGTTACAACGGGCGCAAGCTCGTGTCATCCTGCTTCGGGCGGCGTCTTCCATGGGGGGGATGAATGTGGATTTGGTGGACCGGGAGAGGGACGACATCGAGGTGGAGGGCGGGGCTCTTTGGGTGGAGGCCCCGTACATGGTGGATGCGCAGATGTGACTGAGGGGGGGTGAAATGGGATTCTGGATGGGGTGTCTTGATGGGGTGGCCTGACTGGGTGTTTTGATTGGGTATCTTGATGGGGCCTTTTTGGGTGTTGCGTTTGGGATTTTTTGGCAGTTTCACTTTCCTTCTCCCTTTCCTTCTCCACCTCCCTTCTCCTTCATTTATGTCTCTCTTTCCCTTTTTCCTCTTTCTGTCTAGGATCATGTGATGTACGCTTATATTATACCCCATAAGACGAAGAATACTTGTGTTGTTACTCCCGATTGGGATTAGAAGCATATCGCCTTGTATGCGTCTTATATACCTCGCATTCTGTGGTGTCCTTATGCGTTGTGAACCAACCCTTGCTCATGTCTTCTAGATACGGTAATTGGCAGCACACCAATTTCACCAATGTCACCTTTCGAAGCTAGGAGCCAAACGTGCAAGTGCAGTAAATGCTTTCAATATGCCATACACATATACACTAATTACTTCTGTTGGTGCTTGAGTCTAGAAGTAATCTAGGAGGAGACCTGATGAGAGGTGAGGTGAGGTTTAGGTATGTTTTTTCAGGGCCGGTGAGGTTTGTTTGTTTGTTTGTTTGCAGAACTATCTGGTTGTTTGTTCGAGACGGAACGGAACCGACGTATTTCCACGCACAACGAACAAGACAACAGAAACAAACATAGGTACAACAAGCAACGTGAATCACCCTCTAGCCATATTCAAATATTATTAACTGAAACACCCCAATCCCCCCGACCATCACCATCGCCATCACCGCCACTGAACCCATTCTCCATACCACCACTCCCCTCGCCTCCATAAACCTCATCCGGGTCCGTGAGGCCAAAAAAGTCGGTCCGGATGGCCTTGAGCGTGGCCAGCACCTCCCCCATGGGCGGGCGGTCGGTGAAGGGCATGGCGGTGCAGCGAATGGCGAGCTCAGCGAGGGAGAGGAAGGAGGACTCGGGCACATCGAGATGCGGGTCCTTGAGCTCCTCTGTCTTGCCCTCGTCGATAAGAGGTGCCGCCTGGTTGGTGGGGAGAGAAGGGAGATGGAAGAAGGAAGAAGGAAGAAGGAAAAAGGGAGAAAAGCGCACATGAGAAATTGAGAGGTACGCGAGTGCATGGAGGAAGGAGGACTCGGGCACGTCGACATGCGGGTCCTTGAGCTCCTCTGTCTTGCCCTCGTCGATAAGAGGTGCCGCCTGGTAGATGGGGAGAGAAGGGAGATGGAAGAAGGGAGAAGGGAGAAGGGAAAAGGGAGAAAAGCGCACAAGAGAAATTGAGAGGTACGCGAGTGCATGGAGGAAGGAGGACTCGGGCACGTCGACATGCGGGTCCTTGAGCTCCTCTGTCTTGCCCTCGTCGATAAGAGGTGCCGCCTGGTTGGTGGGGAGAGAAGGGAGATGGAAGAAGGAAGAAGGGAGAAGGAAAAAGGGAGAAAAGCACACATGAGAAATTGAGAGGTACGCGAGTGCATGGAGGAAGGAGGACTCGGGCACGTCGACATGCGAGTCCTTGAGCTCCTCTGTCTTGCCCTCGTCGATAAGAGGTGCCGCCTGGTTGGTGGGGAGAGAAGGGAGATGGAAGAAGGAAGAAGGGAGAAGGAAAAAGGGAGAAAAGCGCACATGAGAAATTGAGAGGTACGCGAGTGCATGGAGGAAGGAGGACTCGGGCACGTCGACATGCGGGTCCTTGAGCTCCTCTGTCTTGCCCTCGTCGATAAGAGGTGCCGCCTGGTTGGTGGGGAGAGAAGGGAGATGGAAGAAGGAAGAAGGGAGAAGGAAAAAGGGAGAAAAGCGCACATGAGAAATTGAGAGGTACGCGAGTGCATGGAGGAAGGAGGACTCGGGCACGTCGACATGCGAGTCCTTGAGCTCCTCTGTCTTGCCCTCGTCGATAAGAGGTGCCGCCTGGTTGGTGGGGAGAGAAGGGAGATGGAAGAAGGAAGAAGGGAGAAGGAAAAAGGGAGAAAAGCGCACATGAGAAATTGAGAGGTACGCGAGTGCATGGAGGAAGGAGGACTCGGGCACGTCGACATGCGGGTCCTTGAGCTCCTCTGTCTTGCCCTCGTCGATAAGAGGTGCCGCCTGGTTGGTGGGGAGAGAAGGGAGATGGAAGAAGGAAGAAGGGAGAAGGAAAAAGGGAGAAAAGCGCACATGAGAAATTGAGAGGTACGCGAGTGCATGGAGGAAGGAGGACTCGGGCACGTCGACATGCGGGTCCTTGAGCTCCTCTGTCTTGCCCTCGTCGATAAGAGGTGCCGCCTGGTAGATGGGGAGAGAAGGGAGATGGAAGAAGGGAGAAGGGAGAAGGGAAAAGGGAGAAAAACGCACATGAGAAATTGAGAGGTACGCGAGTGCATGGAGAGGAAGGAGGACTCGGGCACGTCCAGGTGCAGGTCCTTGAGCTCCTCCGTCTTACCCTCGTCAATGAGCGGTGCAGCCTGGTTTGCGGGGGGGAGAAAGGAGAAAACCGCACGGGAGAAAATGAGGAACAGCCGAGGGAGAGGAAGGACGACTCAGGGATGTCCGGGACGTCGAGGAACAAGAAGGAAATGCCAGGGAGGGACTCAGGGGGCAGCTGGTCGGTGAAGGGGATGGTGGTGAAGTGGACAGAAATCTCCGCGCGAGGACGTGGGAACTCAAGAAACAATAGCAGAAGCAGCAGCAACAGCAGCACTCACCCAGTCAGCGATGTGCTCGTGGTCCTCCCCATGCTCCGCTTGCACTTGAATGAATGGCGGCCGCCCCGTGAGCAGCTCGAGAAAGATGACGCCGAAGCTGCACGGCATGAAAAGAGGGAGGAAGGGAAGGAGGGAGAATTGAGGATGCATCGAACGGAAGCATGGAGCACCCAGACTGGCGGCACGAGAAAACAACTGAGCCTCACCTGAACACGTCCGAGGCCTTGGTGGCAATGTGAGAGGTCAGATACACCGGATCCACGTATCCCGGAGTGCCAAACAGCCGCCCAGCATTGACAGCGCTGGTTTCATTGCGCTGCAGCAGCCCGTAGTTGGCGACCTTGGCCTGCCAGCTCTTGTCGATGAGGATGTTGGCGGGCTTGAGATCCCCATGCACCATGCCCACCGAGTGTAAATATTGCACGCCGTGCGCCATGCCGATGAGGATATCCACGCGTTCCCACAGGGCGAACGAGGCTCGGAAGGTCTCTGCTAGGGAAGCAGGAGCAGGGGCAGGGGCAGGGGGAGGGGCACAGGCAGGGGCAGAGGCAGGGGCAGGGGGAGGGGGAAAGGATGTTGACTGGGTTGTTCTCCCTCAGTCTACTCATTCCTCTGCAGCAGCCCGTAGTTGGCCACCTTGGCCTGCCAGCTCTTGTCAATGAGGATGTTGGCGGGCTTGAGATCCCCATGCACCATGCCCACCGAGTGCAGGTACTGCACGCCGTGCGCCATGCCTATCAGGATGTCCACGCGCTCCCACAGGGCGAACGAGGCTCGGAAGGTCTCTGTTTAGAGGGTAAGGGTAGGGGCAGGGGAACATGGGGAGACGAGGAACGAACAGTGCAAGGCCTGAAGCCCCTTGACATAAGGACAGCTCGGCAGACTGGCAGGTCTCTCATATAACGCACCATACTGGGACGAATTTTGAGGTGCCTCAAAAGTCATGAGGCGCCTCAAAACTTGGCAGACTGGCAGGTCTCTCATATAACACACCATACTGGCACAATGGAAGGTCACACACAAGTAACTCACCTTGGTAGAGGTAGGGGCTGAGGTCCCCGTGGTGCACATACTCGTACACTGCGATCTGCTCTTCCACCTGCACCATCCTTGGTGGACAGCAGTGGGGACACATTGCATAGAAGTGATAGCAGTAGCAGCTCACCTTGATATAAGTAGCGGCTGAGGTCCCCGTGGTGAACATACTCATACACTGCGATCTGCTCCTCCCCCTGCACCATGCCTTGCACCTGCTGCTGTACTGGCACTGCTGCACCTGCTGCTGGGGCATACCTTGCAGGTGACACTGGCAGGCAGCACACACAAATAACTCACCTTGGTAGAGGTAGCGGCTGAGGTCCCCGTGGTGCACGTATTCATACACTGCGATCTGCTCCTCCACCTGCACCATCCTGCCGCCCTCCACTCGCGTGTCCGAGTCCACGCAGTAGCCCAGCAGGTGCGCGAGGTTCGGGTGCCACTTGCTTGCTATCTGCTCCACCTGGTGATTCGGGAAGGTGATTGGATGGGCAACCAGGGTACATGGAAGGGGGCAAACACAGGGGTGGGTGAGCCGGTTTGCTCCTCCACCTGCACCATCCGGCCGCCCTCCACTTGCGCGTCCGAGTCCACACAGTAGCCCAACAGGTGGGCGAGTTTCGGGTGCCACTTGCTTGCTATCTGCTCGACCTGGTGAGGGTTGAATGGGTGAGTGGAAGGGGAAGAGAGGAACGGGAAAGGCAGGGACGAGAGGAAGGGAACAAACATGAATGGGTGAGTTGAGCCGGCCTCCACTCGCGTGCCCTAGTCCACACAGTAGCCCAAAAAGGTTGGCGAGATAGGGATCGGGTGGCACTTGCTTAATTTTTGCTCCATCTGGTGTGCGGGTGATGGGAAGAGAAAGGGCAACAGGTTTGGGAACAGGTTTGGAACAGGTTTTGGCAATGGGTTCGGCATTATGTTCAGCAACAGGTTTGGCAACATGCACTCAGCTCTCAACGCTCACCTCTTTCTCAAAGTGCTTGGAGCGCTCCCTGTAGCGCTTGACAGCCCACGTGCTGGCAGGGTTGTACGGGCACGTGCTCTTGCTCGTGCCACCACCACAACTACAAACTCAAACCACCAGACACTCGCCTCCTTCCCAACTCACCTCTTTCTCGAAGTGGTTAGACCGCTCCTTGTATCGCTTCACAGCCCACGTGCTGGCGGGGTTGTACGGGCACGTGCCCTTGTACACGTCGCTGTGCTGCCCGCTGCCTATGCGGTTCTCCTCGCTCCAGTTGCCCGTGGCTCGGCGAATCTCAACCAGGGAGTAGCGGCAGCACAGCGACGGGATCAGACCCGAATCATCAAACTCCTCCTGGTCTGCAGTGGTGGTGGGGTGGAAGGAAGACGGGCGAATGAAACGGAGTGAGAGGAAGAGAGCGAGTGCTTCTCTGTGAGCAGGAGCAGGAGCAGGAGCAGGAGCAGGGAAGGAAGGGAAAACTCAAAGGGAAGACTCAAAGGGAAGACTCACCAACGACTTTGACGTGCTTGAAGGGGGACGAGCCTGCCCCACAGCAGCACCAAATGAGGAACGCCACAAGCACAGCCGTCAACAGGAGCAGAGAACCGCACACCACCGCAATGATTGCCCCCATGCTCAGCCCACCACCATTACCACCACTGCCATCGTTCCCACTCTCCCCCCCATTCTCTACAGTCAGCCTCTCAAGGGGCTCGCAGGAGGAGCAGAACTGGGGGCAGAGGTGGCAGAAGGAGGAGGAGGCGGACTGGGAGACTAGGCAGGGGGACGCGGAGGCGGGGCAGGGCTGGGCTGTGGCGTTGATGGTTCTGTGGGATGGGGCGAGAGGAGGGCAAGGGGGGGAGGAGGGCGAGAGAACACGGGTGGAGAGAAGCTGCGCGCTGTAATGAGCAACAAAAGAAGAGCCGCAAGGGACAAGCGATCCGATTCCAGAGACCACTAAAGAGAAGGCAGTAAAAAAGGTGCGCCATACTGCTTTTTTTAGACGTCTCTAAAATTAGTGGGGCCGTGCCTTGCTGCTGTACCTCCAGTCAAGTCAACTTACAGTGCTTTCAGCAGGGAGAGCTTTCCGAGTGTGGCTGGCAGAGCTCCTGAGAGCTGATTGGAGTGCAGTTCTCTGGGAGAGAGGGGAGGGGTGGAGGGGAAAATAGGGGTTGAGAGCGGTGGGAGAGGGTGGGCAGGGAGAGGGCAGGGCGAGGGCAGGGAGAGGCAGGGCGAGGGCAGGGAGAGGGGGTGTGTAAGTCAAACCAGCATGGCCGGTGAAGGACCTGAGAGCTGGTTGGAGTGCAGTGCTCCGAGAGGGGAGGTAGGTTGGTTGCAGTAGGTAGGTTGCTGAGTGCGGGGTAGGTAGGTTACAGAAGACTCACAGAACGGTGAGGTTGGAGAGAAGGCCCATGGTTGGCGGGAGGGCGCCTGAGAGCATGTTGCTGTCCAGCCGCCTGGGATGGGCGAGACAAGGGGTGTAGCGCAGGGAGGACGCGATTTTTTCTTCTGTCGACTCAAAAAATCGCCTCATCACACAAGGGGCGTAGCGCAGGGAGGACGCAAAGGGACGGAACAGAAGACAGGTCGGCAAAAGGAGCTGGCAAGAATGGTGAGGATGGAGAGAAGGCCAATGACTTTGTAAGAGGCGCCTCAAAGGTTGGCAAAAGGAGCTGGCAAGAATGGTGAGGATGGATAGGGCGCCGGTGGATGGTGGGAGGGACAGAAGAGAAAAGGCAGAGAGAGAGAGAGAGAGAGAGAGAGAGAGAGAGAGAGAGAGAGAGAGAGAGAGAGAGTCACAAAGGGATGGCAGGGAGAAGGCAAGAACAGTGAGTTTGAAGATGGCAGGGTGATGGCTTTTCAAAGAAAGAAAACATTCTTACCCTCTCCACCCCACCCCACCCCATCCCACCCAAGACTCACATGTCCCGCATTGCCCACAGCTGGCCTATGCTGTCTGGTAGACTGCCGCTGATGCTGTTGTTGGATAGGTAGCTGGGGAGGGGGGAGGGAGGGGCGGGGAGAGAGGGGAAAAGATATGATTAGTGGGAGGATGGAAGGGATGGGAATGGGTGGGAACAGGAAAATCAACAGAAGGCCAGTCCACGTTTTAGACAAGAATTCAACTCGGAATAGATTTGATTCGTTTTGATTCGATTAGATTGGATTGGATGCTCACAGAATCTGCAGGCTCGTGCAGTTACCGATCTCGGTAGGGAGTGGACCAGTGAGTTTGTTGTCCTCTATCCACCTGCACATGAAGAACACGTGGCATGCAGAGAATGTGACACGTGGCAAGAAGGAATACCATGAGAAGATGACACGTGGCAAATAAAATAAAAAACAAACCAACAAGCAAACGAAATGCTGTGACATCAGGGTGGGTGGCTTACAGGTGCTCCAAGTCCTGCAGGTTGCCGATTGCGGGCGGCAGACTGCCGCTGATTTGATTCCCCGACAGGTACCTGCAGGAAGCAAACAGTGGTGATGGTGGTTGGAGCAGATGATTAGCTAAGAGGATGATTTAAGAGGATGATTAGCTAAGAGGATGATTTAAGAGGATGATTAGCTAAGAGGATGATTTAAGAGGATGACTAGCTAAGAGGATGATTTAAGAGGATGATTAGCTAAGAGGATGATTTAAGAGGATGATTAGCTAAGAGGATGATTTAAGAGGATGATTAGCTAAGAGGATGATTTAAGAGGATGATTAGCTAAGAGGATGATTAGCTAAGAGGATGATTAGCTAAGAGGATGATTAGCTAAGAGGATGATTAGTCCATACCTTACCATCAACCCTCTGTCACCCATCGTCAACCCGTTACCACCCACCATCACCCAGCATTAGCCCCCCTCTTTACTCACACCCATTTGAGCTTCTTGAGGGCACCGATGGCAGGTGGGATGGGGCCTGAGAGCTGGTTGGGACTCAGATCGCTGCATGCATGAGGAGAAGGGCAGGGCGGAGGGAGAAGAAAAGGAGGGAGAAGAAAAGGAGCGCTTGCTGAGAAGTTAAAGAAAACACCTGTGCATGCAGCCTAAGGAGCATTTGTGGAGGATCTTTGTCCCAAGCAACAACATGGGATGGGATGGAATGGAGCCGGAGACGAGAGCTGGTTGGGTTGGGACTCAGGTCGCTGTGCAGACGACGCAAAACAGGGGAGGGTGGAGCAGGAAAGGTGGGGGATGGATGGGGGGGGAGCGGTGGGATGGTAGAGGTGCTGAGGATCGGAGCAAAATGGCACTGCAGAATGGAAGAGTGTTGAAATCATAGTGTGAGCGGCAGAACAGCTGATGCAGGCTGACACGCACACAGACATGAATGCAGTGCAGGTGCGTCGCGGTGCGGTGCGGTTCAGAGCAGTGCGATGGAGTGCAGTGCTCTGCTCTTCTTACAGTGTGAACAGGTTCGTAAGCGCCGCAAATGAATCCGGGATCGGCCCTGTGAGCGCATTGCCTCCCAACTCCCTGTGGGGATGAACATGAAGAGCAGGGGTAGATGGAGGGGTGAGGATGGGTGTGGAGGTACAGCCAAACACCAGTTGGCATGAGCAGTTCTGAACGAGATGAGTGGGAGAGAGGAAGAAAAGAAGCAAGGAAGAGAGGAAGTGAGGGGTGAAGTTGTGGGGGTGGGATATACGAGGGTGGGATAAAGAGGGGTGCGGGTGGGTTGAGTGCAGAAACTCACAGGTGCTGCAGCTTGGAAAGCTTTCCGAGAGTTTCAGGGATGTTACCAGCAAGGCGGTTGCTGTTGAGGTTGCTGCAGTCATGGACAGATGGAGAGGGACGGACGGAGAGGAACAGAAGGAGTAGGTTGGAAGGAGAGGGTCGGTGGGAGAGGGTCGGAAGGAGAGGGTCGGAAGGAGAGGGTCGGAAGGAGAGGGTCGGAAGGAGGAGAGGAACAGAAATAAAGAAGGATGCTATAAGCCACCGGAGAGGAACGGTCGACAGTCATGTATTGGGACAACAAAGGTACCGTTGCGCTGCATGCCAACAGCAGAATGAGCGCCTTGAGATTCGCTAGCAGGCAGGGCAGGGCCTGAGAGGCTTACAGCAGGATGAGAGCCTTGAGATTGCCGAGCTCCACGGGGATGCGGCCTGACAGGGCGTTCTCGCCGAGGTTCCTGCGTTGTAAGGCGTTCAAGAAGGCATATGGTGGTGGGGGGGGGGGGGGGGGGGGGGGGGAGAAAGGGAGAAGGGGGGGTTTGAGTGAGTCAACTAGAAAATACTGACAGGGCGTTGAGATTGCTGCATGGCAGGGCGTGGTCACGAGGGTACGTGGTGGTGGGGGGGAATGGAGAGGGATGGGGTGAGCGGTAGAAGGGAGTAGAAAGGGAGTAGCGGGGATGTGGGGAAAGGTAAAGCATGACTCACAGAGCTTCGAGGTTTGAGAGGAGGCTGAGGGAAGCAGGGACGGGGCCTGTGAGATTGTTGCCGTGTAGGTATCTGCCATCATGGGTGCATGGATGCATGCATTAGTGGATGGACTGATACACGGGTGGGGGAAAGCATACGTACAGCTCATGCTACCCCATGCCAAACCATGCCACCCCATGCCGCCCCATGCCACTCACAGTTCTCTCAACAGCTTCATCCTCCCCATATCGGGCAGGTGCCCGTACAGGTGGTTGTCGTGTAGCGAGCTGGACGCACACACGCACAGGGAGAGGGGAAGAGGAGGGGAAGAAGGGGAGGAGGAGGAGAAGGGATGAGGGGGGGTGGTTTGGGGGGTGGAAGGGGATACTAATTATGTAACAATTGATCCACGATTACTGTGTAACCGTGATCTCAATGAAAGGCAGTTGTGGAGAAAGGGGGTAACGGGAAAGCTGGTTGCTGCGGCCTTACAGGTTAGTGAGGCTGGCAAAAGCGGAGATCGCTTTGGGGATGACTCCAGTGAGGTTGCGACTGGCTAGGTTGCTGCAGAGGGGACACGGGAAGGATTGGGGAGGTGATAGAACGAGAGAGAGAGAGAGAGAGAGAGAGAGAGAGAGAGAGAGAGAGAGAGAGAGAGAGAGAGAGGGTGCGAGAGAGCGTGAGGGACAAAAAAATAAATGTAACAGTGTTTACTTGACGAGGGATGGCGAAGGATGCTCTCATATTTCTCACGACCATTAATCACACGCCCGCTCTGCTCACATACTCACATTCGCGTCACCATGCCCTGCGCGTCACACGTGAGGCCAGCCCGCAAGTCGCACTGCTCAAACGGAGGTAGCCGCCACGCCTTGCTCAGCGCCTGTAGCGGCCGCACTGGGGGCGGGGGAGGAAGAGGGGAGGGGGAACCGGGGAGGGAGAGGGGTAGATGAGGGAGTGAAGGGAGAGAAATGAGTTTTGTGAAAGGCGGAGCGAACGGAGGTAGCCGCCACGCTTTGCTCAGCACCTGTAGCGGCCGCGCTGGGGGGCGGGGAGAGGGGGGGTGGGGGGGGGAGCTCGGGTTAATAAAGGAAAGGACTTGATGAACAGTTTCAGTGGTTTCTCTGCCCCTGGTGTCACTACGTAATCGCCTGCTAGACTTTCTGAACCAGGTGCTGCTTGGCTATCTTTGAGGCGCCTCAAAAATTGCTGTCCCTGGTGTCCTTACGTCGCCTGGTATGGTGCTGCTTGAATCGATTTTTGACTTGGCTAAAAACTCGCCTCAACACACGGGTGCCCACTAAGGTACAATTGCCTCAACTCGATTATTAGTCGACAAAAAAATCTGCCACTGGTGCCCACTAAAGTACAATCGCCCGGCAGGATTCTAAAACCAGATACTTCTAAAACCGTGCCCAGGACGCGAAAGTGATAACTCAAATCCCGCGCATGGCGGTGGTTGAAATTGCATGCGCGTACGTTGAGATTCGTGAAGTTTCGTCGAAGCTGAATTTGCTGAAGTCGCGGACTTGACGAAGAGGGAGGAGCAGAGGAGGAGAATCGCGAGGTGGAAAGCTCGCGCGGGAATTGACAGTACTCGCGCCGACCGCACCATCTTTCGATCAATCATGGTGGTGTCTATTACGTAAGTGCCAGCTACTATGTACTTTAGATGCACTACTACTAGTATTACTTTGAATGCAAGTTGCCCTTTCGGCGAAAGAAAAACGGGCCGAACTTGGAAAATACTTCTGTATAAGATTGTACGCAATTGCCCGATTTTTTATCGTATCTTAGTGGCGCTGTGATTGAAAAAATCGGTTCTGAAGAGAAAGAGAGGCCCTGGCTGGAAACGGAAACCCTAAAATATTGTGACGCACTACAAACTATTCGCGCAGAGATAGAAAGAAAGAACCAGGAATATTTCAGACGATAGGTGACGCTGAAAAACTCTACGGAGAGCTGCTACAGCTATTCTTGAGAAGGTGCGTAATATTCAATGACCCAGTATCAGATTCTACCTCGTAGTTTGAACTTGCTCAAATAATACATGAGCCTGCAGTAACAGAAACACAGCATGATGTGCGGGTGAGGTGGTGGAAAAAGGGAGGGAGGGGAAAAGGAGGAAAAGGAAGGATGCGAAAGTGACGGGAGTTGGGGGTGGGGTGGGGAGGACGGATACAGGGCGTGCGCAAGAAGGCGGAGGAATGTTGCGCGTGATGCGCACAGGAGGAAGAATTGACGGACTTCCCCCTTGCCAACTGTTCACGGGGACGAACCCTGCGCTGGAAAAACAGGTGCAGTCACAAGCAGGGTTCTGGGGGGTGTGGGATGAAAAAGTTGGTGTTGGGTGAAACAACTGTCGGTTAAGATGGTTTGAGAATGGTAAGATGGGGTAGGGTTACATTCGGACTTGCGCATGAGCTGGCATAAGAGAGCGCGGAATTGGTCAGCATGACAGCCTGACTGGTTGCTTTGTCCGCGCGAGCTGACAATTTCTTGAAAGTCTGCGCGGAAGCGGGGGATTGGAGTGCCGAGGAAGCTGCGGAGAGTCCGCCGCGGCTCGTTCATTCAACTTAGTCGTCCGGGTTTGGTCTGAGATTGGCCAGCGTGGCGTGGTGGAGGCGTGTGGTCTGAAAACCAGGCTGACGCGGCATTGCGTTCCCGTTTCAATAAGCCCTTTTCACTTCAATTTCTGCATTTCTCTGAAATCAATTAAAACCTAAACAGATACGTTCAGTGAAATATAGAATCAGCTGGCAGTTGTACAAAACGCACGAATTCATTATAAGATAATGCATGCATATCGTTTTTTATTTTTAACCATACAACTCGCTTGTGAAAGCAATACCATATTCTCCTACGCTTTATCCAGCTTGGCATCCATTTGTCCAATACATATATTAGTTTTTTTTTTGCTGTATTGAATCGACTGCTTTGGGAGAACCCCTTAATGATAGAATATCACCCACGTGTGAATGGCGATTACAATAAAAACTCTTCACAAAATTGTACTGTTGTTGCAGCGAGGAACTCACCAGAAAGGACTCGTTGTTCCTGGGTACTTGACTGCAGTGGGGTCATATCATAAAGGTGAATTCGAATCCGAATTTAGAATTCGAGAAGAGCCATAGCCAGGTCCTGTGCGCAGTGGCAGTGCGAGCGTGCGTGATATTCTTCTGAGAGGGTTTGGCGAGGCTTCCAGTAAAATAGTCGAGTCTCCCAGACTCTGCTCCCTCAATGTAGCAGCGTTTGAACCATGCCAACCTAATCAACTGGATTCGTTTTTTCGAGAGTAAAAGCCTTGTCGGATGAGGGAACGGCTGGTGGCACATTGCGGGTCGCCAAGTTTGTTCCCACACAGAGGCCTATTAGGACGGTTTGATTGAGGTGATGACAAATAAAAACATCACCTCTGGTCGAGGGAACGGGCCTTAGCTGAGATTGCGGGCCGTCAAGATGGTAGCGCACGACTTTTGAGTCGACTCAAAAGTCGCCTCGTTGAAATCATCACCTCCGGATGAGGGAACGGCCCTTAGCTGAGATTGCGGGTCGCCAAGATGGTAGCGCACAGAAGCCAATCAGAACGATTTTTGTTTCAACCAATGACGGCAGCATGCTCCGTTGTAATCATTCTCGTTTTAGTCTCTCTGGGAGCCACAGTCTCTGGAGAATACGCGCGGACCTCGTCAGACCTTCATTTCGGCTACCCTGAAGCGCTTTGCGGGTCATGGCATAACGAGTACATCGCCTTACACGAGCAAATCCGAGCAGCAAACAGACGAAGCAGCCGCGAAACAGCAGTAAGGGCAGGGAGCAGAGGGAGCAACCGCCAGGACGCTTCATCCCCTCATCCACCATCAAACCCCCTTCTCTCATCCCCTTCCCCAACTCCATCACCAGACTCCCTTTCCTCTCCCTCTAACTCTCCCTCCTCTCTCACCTCCTCCCCCTCACCCTCCACTTCCCCCTCCTTCGCCGCCTCCCCGTCCCCCTCCCCCTCCGCCTCCCCCTCCGCCTCCGCCTCCGCCTCCCCTTCCCCCTCCGCGTTCCCCCGTTTCCTCACCTACGAGTGGTACCATGGCTGCGGCGGCCTGGGCGACACGCTCCTGGGCCTCGCCTCGACATTTGTCGTCGCGCTATTGGACGGTCGCGCGCTGCTCATCCGCCACCGCTGCCTGCCATTCGCCTTCGAGCCGAACCTTATCGACTGGAGATTCCCGTCCACGTCAGCACCTGGTGGAGGTGACAACCAACCGGGATCCACGAGCCTTGGTTCAGCCGAGCCTGGATCTGCCGAACCTGGAATAGCCGACCCTGGTTCGGCTGAACCTGGATCAGCCAACTTCCTCAGAGCAGGAATGGGCAGATCAAATGTTGGCAACGTCACAGGGGCAGATGGGGCTGACGATGAGATTCCGCTCGAACCTGCCCGGATAATCTCGACGGAATCGGTGATTGCGGGCAGCCTGGAAACAAAGGAGATGGGTGTGGATGACGTGCCAATGCTGGACATCCGAGACACACAGTTTGGGAGCGTGCAGGTGGGTGGTGTTTGTGATGGTGCCTGGTTATAACAGTGGTAGACTGGGATCACGAGCACAGAAGCACAGAAGCAGCAGAGATGAGTTCATTTCTATGGCCGGGAGTGGATGGTGTGCCGATGCTGGACATCTGAGACACGCAATTCGGGAGCGTGCAGGTGGGTGTATGGTTGTGTTGGGGAGCGTACAAATGGGGGCATGGTTGTGTTGGGGAGCGTACAAATGGATGTACATGTTTGTGCTTGGGTGTAACAGCGATAGCAGCAGAGAGAAGCAGCAGACATGAGCCAATGCAAATCATGATGTGGTCGGATGATGCGCCGATGCTGGACACTCGCAATGGTGGATGACATGCAATTTGTCAGTTTCTGAGGCGCCTCAAAAGGAGATGGGCCAGTTCCGCAGCGTCAGGTTGTCATAAGTCACTAGAATTGTAGAAGACGACCGCACACCCCCTCAACCCCGCACAGGAGACCTTCTCGCCCTACAGCAAATTCCGCAACGTCAGGCTGTCACACGTCAACGCTGTTCACCCATGCTGACCCATTCACCCATGCTGACCCATTCATCCATGCATACCTTTCATCTGCCCCCACACGCACCCATAGAGGCGGCCTTCACGCCCTACAGCAAGTTCAGCAGCGTCAGGATGTCACATGTTAATGCAACCCTCCCCTCCCCACCCTTCCCCTCTTCCCTCTTCCTCAACCCCCACCACACAGGAGACCTTCACGCCCTACAGCAAATTCCGCAACGTCAGGCTGTCGTGGAATCGGGGCGTGCTGACTCAGATGCTGACGGAGGAGCAGAGCGAGTGGGCGACACGGTTCCGCGCCACCGGGTTGCGCCCACCGTACGCTCTCGGCTGTATCCTGCGCTTCCTGCTCAGGTGAGATTGCTCAAGTGAGATTCAAGTGAAATCCCTTGAGTGAATTTTTTCCTTCATGGCCGGTTCCTGCCATTTCCACTGTGCCACCCAGGTCGTGAGAAGAGCCATTTCTATGAGAAGGAGACTGTACAGTCAGGATCACTTCGTGCCTTGACAGAATTCAAAAGCACCTCCCCCCCTCTTCCCCCCCCCTTCGTGTGTTTCATCCCAGACCTAATGCAGAGGTTCGGCAGCTTCTGAGTGGCCTGGAGAAGGAGGTGCATGCATCTGGTTTGGTGACAATTGGAGTTCACATCAGATTCACTGATGGGACAGTGTGGGAAGGTGAGTGCCTGCAAGGCTGAGAGCAAGCAGAGAGCAAGTGCGTAATATGTGGTGTATAGCAGGTGTGATCGTGCTCGTCAATCTATTGGGTGTAATATTATATACCATGGATTCGTGAGCATTGATGTTCATGTCAGATGAGAGTTCTTTCCGACTTGGCTATCCAATGCCCTTTCTGTGCTATGCGTTTTTTTTTTAATGCCTTTTTCTGAGGCTCAGCCACATGGACGTGAGTGGGTGAATGAGTGCGTGAGTGGGTGAATGAGTGCGTGAGTGGGTGCATGAGTGCGTGAGTGGGTGAATGAGTGCGTGAGAGGGTGAGTGAGTGCGTGAGTGGGTGAATGAGTGCATGAGTGGGTGAATGAGTGCGTGAGTGGGTGAATGAATGCGTGAGTGGGTGAATGAGTGCGTGAGTGCTTGAATACGTGAATGAGTGAGGGCGTGCATGCGTGAGTGCGTGAGTGCGTGAGTGGGTGCCTCCTCCTAAGCCTTTGTACTCACTTCCGCGCGTGGGTGGGAAAGAGCGGCTTAGGCCTTCTTGTGTGTCGTATGCGATTCTTCTGTGCAGCATGCTCATCTCATCCCATCCCATCTCCATCTGTCCCAACCCATCTCCTCCTATCCCATCCCATTGCACCGCATTGCACCGCATCAGGAGAGGGCGAGGATGCTCCCAAGCAGCTGGGCGATGCGGAGGTTGAGAGGCTCAAGCAGGCTGCCCGCCCACTGCTGTCCTGCGCTCAGGTGCGCTGCTGCTGTAACTGCTACAGTGTGTGCTACAGCGACTGCTACAGTGGCTGCCATAGCAGCTGCGTCAGTAACTGCTACAGTGTGTGCTACAGCGACTGCTACAGTGGC